AAGGACAATAGATGAACTTTGACCAATAATTTTTAGTTCGTCGACCAAGTCGACTTGGTCGACTTAGTCGATCAGGGGTCGGCTAAGTCGACTTAGTCGACTAGCTGCATATCGGTTTATAACACTACTTGTATCGGGTCATTGATATTTATATCTAAAATCATGTTTTTACTATCACTTGTTATGGCATTGTAGTTGCACTTATGCTTATAGTCTTGTGAACAAATCACGAGAAACGTAGTAATATAGATTCACGTATGGATCAAATCACATGTAGAAGCTGATTGTATATAAGATGTATTACTCATGTACGTACGTACTGTGAAGAAACTACATGTGAGAACTTGACTAAGAAAATGTCGATCAGGGGACTATAAATTTTGATAATCAGTCTGACATTTTCCTAGTCCAGTTCTCGTGTGAAACTTCTGTAATGCATACACATCCCCGTTTTGCTACATATGTCACCAATGAAATGCAAGAGTTTGCGAACACACATCATTAATTCGTATTATTACCATACTCTTCAGAAATTTACATATCACTCTGTTATTGATATTTGTAAATTTATAGCTGTTTTCAAAAAGGTGTGAACAGACGTAGATCACCATATCACGGGAAATTCACAGATTTTCAATTCAGCTCTTCAATTTTTACTACAGCAATTAGAATTTTCAGATTCCACGTAGGTATACGAGAATCGTTGTTCACACCTTTTTGAAAACAGCTGTAATTATATTTAATATTGAATTCGGAAATTTTAAATGCAAAAAAAAAAAAAAAAGATAAGAATTTCAAATTAAGAATTTTTTTTTATTATTCTGCAATAAGTTAGCATCTAACAAGGCAAACAAGGATTATATAAAATTATAGCCTCTGTGTAGAAAATTATAATACTAAAAAAGAAAATTTCGTAATAGTTTAACTATTAATCCACGGACAGCTATTTGTAAAACTTGAATGGAAATATTGAATACAAACTGTTAATAGATATTTTATTATGCATTATCTATAAATATATATATTCCAGTTGTATCTTCTAATTTACGAAGGATATATGTTAATTAATAATTTAAAAATGACGTAGAACTGAAATATCAAAACAAATAGCCATTACATAATTTGTGATACGAATTCTGCTACTCAGAAATAAAAAAAAGACAAATGGTAACGAGTAAATCAAAATTTGCTAACTATTGAATAAATATCAATAAAATGGATGTGAAACAATTTATCTTATTGACTTGAGCCGCCAACTGCCGCAACTGCACAAGCATCTAAATCCGGAAGATCAACAAAAATTTGATAGCCTTCTTTACTTTTTAAAGCGTCTGGTATCAGAACTGGCACTGTGGCAGTAATTTCAGTTCCAGCAGGAACTGGACATTTAACATTACTGTGCTTACACATCTTAGCAAAAACAAATCCAACTACTTTTTTTGGATTTGTAATAAATCTGAAGGCAATTGTATCACGATGTTTATTGAC